AAGGGTTCGTGAAGGAGGGAGGGTAGGGGAGGAAGGAGGGAAAAATGAGCAGATACCAAGGGCTCAAGTAGAAAGAAAATGTTTTGAGAATGATGATGGCAACAAATGTACAAAGATGCTTGACAGAATGGATAGATGGATGGATTGTGCTAAGAGTTGTACGAGCACCCCATAAAATTATTTTAAAACAAACAAAGAAAGAAAAGGCCCTCATCAACATTGCAAGAGCCAGGGAAGAAATTTCTGTCATGGAACAAGTAAGAGATACTTGCACACAGAACCAATTCAGGTCAAGTATCGAGTTTTGATTCAGCATATTCAAGATTACAATAGTCTTTGCCTGGTAGCAAGGCCGTTCGAGACTGCCAGTGGCTCAGGTACTCTGCAGTTGGTTTTGGACTCCCACTGCCCTCCGTAGCCCTCCACAAATTGGGTGTTTATCATTTTAGCTCTGATACTTTTCCCTTCGCCGTGTTTTAATTTTGTAGTTGTCTTTGGGTCACTCAGCTGGTGTGCTTCTTTCGTGTGGACTTCGTTGACTCCTCACCACACTCTGGTGTAGCCCCTTCAGTGATCCTTTCATGAAGGTGGATATTAAGCAGGGCCATGTTGTCCAAACTACCTGTGCTTGATTTGGGGGTTAGCGTTAAGTAGGAGCCCAGACTCCATCTGCCTGTCCATGGGGCTTCCACGTTTCAGGTTTACTCTGGTGGTTGTAAGATGACAAAAGTCACCACCCTATAATATCAGCTGCTTCAATAGCAGCCATAAGCCAGCCAGTAACCAAACAGAACACACACACCAAAAGGAAAAAAAGGAGGAAAAAAAAACAACCCGAAAAGCAAGCTATAAGCAAGAAATCAAAAGCCACATAAATGAAGAAGTACAGCGTTGTCAATCACCACTCTGTGGGTGTAAGTCGATCACACCATTACCGTCATCCATCACATGATTACCATCGGTTTTCCCAGTGACCCAGCCCTCCAGACACTGTCGGCGTGAGGAATCTATATGAGTACAGCCCATGGGTTTTTGTCTTATACCGTTCGATCTCAGTCGATTGGGCTCTGCTAACCCCAAGCATGGGGGTTGTTGATGCCCGTTTGTTCTTTACTGGACACTGTGCCAGCTGTGTGATATGCATTGTCACAGACACAAAACCAGGACTTTCCCCAAGCCAGCCACCAGGCCTCCTCGAACCCTGTGAGAGCAGGTGACATCACCTGGCCCAGTGGGACCACAGGAAATGATTCCTGCTTACCCCTCATGTCTATATTAAACACCTCTCAATTGGGTGTGTGATTGGGATCGGACAAAATCCAATGAGTGAGTTAAGTGGTGAATAAATTCTCTTGGAAAGGATGTTCTGATGCGGGGCTTAGACAGTAAAGAAGTGCGCAAACGCCTACCGCAGGTGATAGTCACTGCCATTGAATGTGGATAATAGCTCTGAGCAGCAGCTGCGGCCTGCCTCCACGAGCCAGCTGCCCTTTTAACGTGTCGTCGTTACTAGGTGCCAGCCAGTCGACTCCGACCCCTAGCCACCCTACGCACCACAGGACGCAAGTGCACGATCCCGTGCCATCCTCACAATTGCGCCTGTGCCTGGCCTCGATGATGCAGCCACTGTGTCGGTCCATCTCGATGAGGGCCTTCCTCTTTGGGGCCGCCCTTCCGCTTGACCAAACGTGTCCTTCTCCAGGGACTGGCCGCTCCTGTGACAATATGTCCAAAGTGTGTCAGGTGAAGCCTGGCCTTCCTTGCCTCTGAGGAGCACTCTGGCCGTATTTCTTTCCACACAGATCCGTTTGTCCTTTTAGCAGTCCGTGGTATTTTCAGTGTTCTTCTCCAGCACCAGTGTTCACATGCAACAATACTTCTACTGTCTTCCATATTTAATTGTCCAACGTTCACATGCGTATGATTCAATGGAGAATGCCATGGCTTGGGTCAGGCACAGCTGAGTCCTCAAAGTAACATCTGTGCTCTTCCGTCCTCTAAAGAGATCCTGTGCGGTAGATGTATATAATGCGATATGACTTGATCTCTTGACTGCTGCTTCCATGAGCATTGATTGTGGATCCAAGTAAGAGAAAATCCTGCACAGGTTCAACTTTTTCCCATTTATCGTGATACGGCCTCTTGGGCTAGTTGTGGTGATTTTGGTCTTGCTTACAGTGAGTTGTACTCCATACCGAAGGCTACAGTTCTTGAGCTTCATCAACAAGTGCTTCAGGTGCTCCTCATTTTCAGCAAGCAAGGTTGTGTCATCTGCATACTGCAGGTTGTGAATACATCCTCTTCCAATCCTGATGCCACACTCTTCTTCATATAACCAGCTTCTCTGATGATGTGCTCAGCATACAGATTGAACAAGTATGGGGAGGGGATACCACCCTGACACACACCTTTCCTGATTTTAAACCATGTAGTATTTCCTTGTTCCGTTTGTACAGCAGCTGCTTGATCATGTACAAGTTCCGAATGAGCACAGTGAAGTGTTCTGGAATTCCCATTCTTCTCAAGGTTCTCCACAATTTATAATGGTCCACACAGTCAAATGCCTTTGCATAGTCAACGAAGCACAAGTACACATCTTTCTGGTATTCTCTGCTCGAGCCAAGATCCATCTACATCACCAAGGATATCCCTTGTTCTACGTTCTGTTCTGAATCCGGCCTGAGCTTCTGGCAGTTCCCTGTCATGTACTGCTGCAACTGTTGGGTGATCCTCAGCAAAATTTTACTTGTGTGCAGTATCACGTATATGAGCATTCTCTTGGATCACCTTTCTTTGGAATGGGCGCAAATATGGATCTCTTCCAGTCAATTGGCCAAGTAGCTGCCTTCCAAATTTCCTGGCATGGATGAGTGAGTGATTCCAGTGCTTCTTCAGCTTTCAGAAACATTTCAATGGGCACTCCAATTCCTGGAGTCTTGTTTTTGACTAATGCATTCAGTAGTTTGAATGTCTTCCTTCAGGCCCATTGGTTCTTGCTCATGTACTAAGTTCTGAAAAAATGGAATATCAACTAGTTCTTTTTGGTACAGTGACTGTCTTAATTCCATCTTTTCTTTCCATCTCCTGCATTCCAAATATTGCCTACAGAATCTCAAAATTTCAATTCAA